ATATAAAACTGATAAATTTTTTTATTTAAAACTAAATAAAAAATCTAAATATAAAATAAAATAAATAAATAAAACTAATTTAAAATATAAAACCTGTAATAGCACCTCGATACTGATTCAATGTGAACATTTTTTTATTTTTTTTGCAATAATGGTTGGTTATCCATATATTATCACTTGCATATAGTGATATTGTTGCATAAAAAAATCAGAAAGGCACTAAAATAGAATTAAAACTTTTCTCAAGATTACCTTCATAACCAATTGAAAAGAAATGTGTTTGTTCAAATCGTCTCAGGTACCACACTAGGCAGTGCAGATTATGATGAAGATGTGACGCCAACACCAGATTACGACTACAACGCTACATTCGACTACTATCTGTACAGTAAGTTGCCATGTTATTCTTGAGCACTGGTGAGCACATAGCAGACAGCTGTCCTGAAGTCTGAGGACATTTTTAATACAATCTGAAAGTGCCAGTCTGTGGTGTGATGAGACACATAATACTGGACGGATGGACTGACAAACAACTTTACAATGGACGGCAGCAGATATTAAGAAATACACTGAATGCTGCCATTTTTGACCAGTCAGACCAGTATTCCAGAGATTCATCTAATAACAATTATGGATAATGTTAACCAATAGCCATAGCAAACTTCCATTCGGTCTGGCTTGATTCTGGTATGTGACACTTTTTACAAGTCAGCCAATTCATAAAATCAAATGACTCCTTACATTGCTCTCTAGAAAACGTGTATTGTTACCAAATTAAAATAAGTTGCAAATAATGGCAAAATATGGGTATTACCATAAATGTAACTGTTTTGTTGTTTCCATTTCAGATGGCACGTCAATAAACTACGAGATGTATGAAATTCTCCACAATACCAAAAATCAAGGAAATACGGTATAGTGGCATAAACTCTCTATTGTTATGTTATCCACAGGCATTTCATTTCTAAAAGCCTGATTAACTTGTGGTACTTGTGACAATTGAAATGAATAGAACTAAATTGGCATAAGATTGTCATGGCATAAAGTGAAAAAAAAAAAAGAATAATTAAGCAGACTCGTAAAAGGAAGGATGACAGGAAAGATGCAGAGATTTGCTAGAACAAAAATAGGTTTGTAGAAACGTAAAGGAACATCTTTTGAACAAGCAATTGTTTGATGGCTTTGTTTTTACCAAGAATGCCGCCGGCCAAATAGGAAATCAAAAAGCAACGATCTCAATGTTTGACTGGGAAAAATATCCATACTGACTGCTTAATGAACTCTTGCTGCTTTTTAGGATTCAGTGTCAGTGTATAGACACTATGGAATATTAGCAGGACTGCTGGTGCTGCACTTCTGCCAGCAAACATGAAAATCAACTATGGACCAAACAAAAGTGAGTTTTTTTTTTCGATGGCTCTTATTCATCTTTCCTCTATGATGCTTTACAGTCCATTCACAGCCTGGAGTGACTGTTATTTTCTTAGAAATGCATTGTTCATCATGCATAAATCAATCTATATTTAGTCACAGCTGTCTATTACAGAGACTGATGAAATCTCTATTAAGTGCACTATTCTGTACTGTTAGCATATCATAATAGCTACAGCAGTGTGATAATTTGTTATTGTGCTACATGTCAGATAACCGTGTTACAGTCATTTCTTGCATGTTTTGTTTTATATTTTAAAGATACCGATGTGCTGATGTCATCGAAGAGGAAGGACCAGAACATCCTCTTTGTTGCAGAGCGACATCATTACTGACATTTTCACTGAATTAAAGTCTGGAGCTTTGGAAAAAAGAAGAATCTTTCTACTAAATGTATCTCTGTTGTTCAAAACTTTTTATATGTGATTTGAAATTATCACAGATTTTATGCTGTTTTAGATGCTTTACTGGGTCTATTAATTATCCAACAATCATTATCTGAGAAGCCTTTATGAAACTGTAACCAACATTTTCACTTTTGCATAAAGGATGAAATAAAACAAATAAAAAATTATATATGGTAGTTTTTACTAATTGCTTCCACAGCTCGGCATGTCTGATTAACAGCTCTAAGTGTGAACTTTATTTATATATTTCACAAACTCTTAACGAGGTACTAATATAATTGAATAAAATAAAAAAATAAACAATCTATCAGGAAAAAAACAATACAAAATGATGAGGCTAAAAGCACTTAATAGCAGGGTTATTTTAGTATCCGTTTTTAATTTTTGTTTCAGTTTTTTTTAGTAAGATAAGATAAACTAAATGAAATGAGAAATGTTGCCTTGGCAACTAGCTGAAATAAAATAAATACATTTTTTAAATATTTACTTCTGTTAAAGTTTATTTTAAGTATAACAAAAATAGCTTTTGATATAAATAATAATAATAATAATAATGTGAGACATGCATATTTGTGCTTTTTGCAAACTCGAATCATTACTGATTATTGGGTGACCTCTGACCTTTTTTTAATACAGATATCAGACATGCTGCTTTAATTTGCATGCATCATAAATAACATTTGTCTCATTACTGTGAGACAAGTCCAAGGGCTCAAGCTGCTCATTAAGCGTCAGTCTGCCTGCTGCACAAATATGCACTAACATATCTGACAGTTTCCTGAGCAGACTGCAGTATTCTCTATGTTCTTGTCTCAGCGACGTAAGACAGGGTCACCTTGCATCTCCAATCAATAACTGACCCAAGAACAGCACATTACTCAAATGAAAGAAATGAAGGGTTATCCAGTTGCGTTAAAAGAGGTTGGTATTAACCACTACAGTATGAACCCATGTTTAAAAGGTTTAGATATTAACAGCTGGAACTTGTCATTAGCCTTTACAAAAAAAGTTGCCACTTGTTAAAAAGAATTGTCTAGTTATGTTACTAAAGTTACTACAATGTCTATTTATTTTGCCCAAAACAATGATTTGATATTTATTTTACCTTTTGGTTTCCCCCTTTTCCCGAATCGTTTCATATTTCTTTAAAAATGTTGCCGATACCCCTAAAATATTTTAATTGTGACAACTTATCCCATATCCACCTAACGTTAGATAAGAGCGGGAGCGTCCATTTATAACGTAACGTTAAATGTGCGAGGCTTCCGGTGTCAGTTCGTTCCCCGTTATTTGTTTCGTATCTTTTTATTTTAATCTTTACTCTTTTATTGTCGTAATTATAAACACACCGATTTGAAGCGCAAATAGTTGTACCGTTTACTGCACTTTGTTATTCTTCTACTCATTTATCTTTAGCGCTAATAAATCGGAAGTCTCGCACATTCACAGAAAATAGCTTACTTCCGCTCTGAAAAATAAGTGGGTAGTGTAACACAATGGGGCATGTTGTCACAAAAGAAAAGTACGTTCGATGAGCTGTATTTTTTCCTAGACTTATTTATTTATTTTTACCAAGACTTAGGTTAGTGCCCATACAGAAAGGGTAGAAATAAAAAATAAAAACTATGCTGTACCGAAAATATTAAGGTAAAAAATGTGACAAATCCTAAGCGTATATTATATATGTAAAACATATCATAGGCTGTAAAATATTTAAAGAAAGAAAGAAGCGCTCTTGGATGCCCCCCGCGGCGCGTGAAATCTCTCCATTCACACGCGAGCTGATGGATGAGGGAGATGCGTGATCTCATCATATATTCAGTAGCCAACGTTCTCTCGAGACCACTGGAGACCTCACGAGTAGCGGTGCTACTTACAGAACGCCCACCTACACCACATTTTCTTTTGACTTTTGCCTTTGAGCACGCAGACGTGAGATGTTCGCAGGATAAGGATGAATTCGTTGGCGGTGTCGGTGTCAAAACAGCTGCTTACGTTGGATGCAGCAGATGATTGTGTTGTAGCACCGACTGCTGTGAGACACTGATGTTTCTTTTCCGTAAGCGCTCTTATTAGCAGTTTTGATCTATGATTGAAGATGCCGAGGTTCCAACATTTAAACAGCACTAGTATACCAAATCACAATTATGAATGGAGCTACGAATACTACGACGACGAAGAACCTGTGTCTTTTGAGGGACTCAAAGCACATCGATGTAAGTGTTTGCTGCATTTAGTCCATTATAGCTTGATGTGTTTGTCATCCTTTTCTGTGGGACAATGGTAAGATACTGTGAGATGAATGTTTAAAAATAAAAAATGCTACTTTAAAAATGTGTAATGAAAAACAAAAGTTTATCCAGCACACAGTACAGTAACAATTATGCAGATATTTATGTAAATATATAAAAAAATGTATGTGTAAATATAATTGTTTATAGCTACACTGTGTATTATGACATTAAAACGTAGCATTTATATATTATGACATTGTAAATATGTATGTGTGTTTGTGTGTGTATGTATATACATATATATATATATATATATACACTAGTATATATATAAATAAAATCACATAAATAGTTGCATGTCATCTATACATGCAATATATAGTAAACTTGTCAGTTAAAAATCTAAAAACCGGAAACATATATATATATATATATATATATATATATATTTTATTTTTTCTTTTCTGTTTTTCCCCCCTCATTTTAAGTAATTTGGGGTAATGCAAGTAGAGACAGTAACAGAAAAAAATTCAGTTGCATTTTTACGTCACTCAGCTTTGTTTCCTCCTGCAGATTCCATTGTGATCGGCTTTTGGGTGGGTCTAGCAGTTTTTGTCATTTTTATGTTTTTTGTTCTGACTCTTCTGACCAAAACAGGAGCACCACACCCAGAGTAAGTATATATTTTAATATTCTGTTGAATACCAGTTTTGTTGATCAGGCTTTGTGGCAAGGACAGGACAGAACAGACCAAACAAAAGTGCAGACAGTGTAAATTCCCAATAGGTCAATTCATCTCTCTCACATCTGCACCACAAGCACAATGTACTGGACCAAGCCAGTGTTTCAGCATGTTTTTTCTGTTTCCCGCTGCCTGCGTTTTGGCCACCTAGCTGCCTCATTATCCTTAGCTTCAGAGAGAGCTCTGTGTGTGTGTGTGTGTCCGTGTTAGAGGCCTCCCTCACTCTCATTAGCTCTCTGCTAGGTCAGTGTCTCCGATGTAACACTTCTTTAGACCAACAAAGATTCTTTTCAGGAAACTTTGATTAAACCAACAACAATCTGAAATCTTGGTCCAATTAGCATGAAGTCTGGCAACTTTAACCTTCATAAACTCAGAAATATACGCACTTCGACAATCATTTCATGCTGTTTTAATCCAATCTATCCTTGAATCTGTCTTGTCGCATGCTCATGTTTATTAATGCGCACAAATGCACCCATACGCATGCACATACACAAACACAACAGTTATCTCTGTCTGTGTTCTGGTAACCAACCAGAATTCATTTAAAAGCAGATTAATAACCAATAATGCCCTCTTTCTACATTCAAATGTATTGGGCAAATAATTCTAAGGGTGTTTATTGTTTATCGCATGTAATTACACTCAGTTATAATTGTGCAGCACTATTAGTCCCCAGCCTCTGGTCTAATGGAGCAGTTGGGAAGCTCAGGGGCCGGGTTGACAGTCTGTTTAGTGCTCTTTTAATTAAACTGCTCTATAGATGTGAGTCATCCATTAACACAGACCAACAGAAACCTCTTACACTCAAGATCATTGAAAAGAGAGGATAGGAATATGTGCTCCCACACACACACACACACAGACAGAAGGAGGATAGAATATAAGATGAGGGTACTCCCACACTCCAGAAGCACCGGTGCTCATTTCACCTCTATTAGAAAAGGGAAATAAAGCTGTTTAAACCTGGTGATGAGGCTTTGAGTTCAACGCTCCTGTCTCAATCCCTCAGGGCCGCGGAGCCTTATGAGAAACGAATGCGTCTCACAAGCTGCGCCGAGGGTCTGGGCCGCCAATGTGAGGCAGACACCCGAACGAGTCTCTCTCGCCCATTGCTGGAAGAGTCCCGGTCTTTTTTTCACTGTTACATAAATGAAGAAGAGCGAGAAGGAGGCAGGGCCACTGCTGGTGCCACCCATGGACGTACAGGCAGCGGCGACTCCAGAGACCAGTTGGAAACAGTCGGCCTAGTCGTGCAAAGCATGGTCATGGACACCAGGGCGGAACGAGAGGCAGCACTCTTGGCGCATTTCAACATTCCCAACTTCGTGAACTCAGAACTGAACTCTGTGTTGGGGGATGAAGATTTACTACTGGGCGATCCACCGATCATAATTGAGGAGGCACGTCCACGCTGCACCCATCATATCATTGACTAATCCACCAGTTTAAAGATGGCCTTTTTCACTCATTATGGCTCCATTATTGTCTTCAACTCAGCCTGTGATCTCTAAAAGTGAAGAGTGATGGTGTTTTGCTTCAAAAGCTCTGCTTTTGCAGCGCACGCTTTAAGGCTGAGCTATTTTCTGACATCTGGGGTCTACAGTGACTCATGATGTCAGTCTGCAAGATAAAAAAAGGTGGGATTGCACGAATGGGATTTGGCGAATATGTTCTTGACAGCAGCGACAGCATGCTAAAAGACTGTTGGGAGAAAATGCCAGATATTTAAAGAAAAACAATGAAATCAAGGACAAGGATGTTGTTTCCAGTTGTAGGAAGACATTCCAGTAGATTGCAATGCCTTATTGGTTCACACATCATTTCTACTATCAGCATGATTAAAAAAAAAAATATCTTGATGTGCATTAGGAAGATGCTTTATGCAGCATTGTACTTATGTAGCCTAATGGAAAAATTGCAGCAAATTGCCTGGTTCTCTGGCCTTGTTGTGTGAGCAAATGCCCGAGTAGAAAATAGCACGCTGTCTGCACCTGTCAACTGAATCAGTGGCTTTCTGCAGAATATCTGCAGTATACTTGCATACTAACTCTCTGTATTTGTCTGAATACAGCTGCCTGAGCTGCCGGAGCAACTGAATACTTCAGTTCTGTCTCCCATTTTATTGAACACCTACATGCCAATAAAATTCAGTGCAAAGCTTCCCGTGGTGAAACTTTTACATAAATCCACACCTGAAAGAAACCTCACATTATACAGCTTGTGTTATTACATTTTGACCTGACTTTTAAGCTGACAGATGATAAGACAGGTGAAAAATCAAATAGATGTACATTGAGGGACCAATATAGAGAACAGAATGTCTTAACTTGGATTAGAAAGTTGCTACTTAGCAACCACTCAGAAAACCTTAGCGACCACTGAGCAATGTCCTGGCAACCATGAACACTCAGGTGACAGGTGACGAGAAAGCACCACTTATTTCTTCAGAAAATGTAAAAAAAAAAAAAAAAGTCTTTAAAATACTGTTGTAATTTATAGTACAGAACTATGGGGATCACATACAATGTTTTAACCTTTTAAAAATTCAGGACATTCAGGATTATTACTATTATTACAGTACAGGTCATTATTAACTATCAAAAAAATAAAAATGAGCACTGATGAAAACTTTGCCTGAGGAAAAATGAAAAGATCATTTACAGATTTACAGAGTGACATTATTTCACCTTCAAACTTGCAGACAAATAATTAATAATTTAGATAGGTGACAGCTTTGAACAGACATCAGATGTGACACTAGCTGAAGATTGGCAGGTTATCAGTACGGCATTTATTCTGAATCATTAATAGACTTTCTTTTTTGTGATTATGCAAATTTCAAAGGTAGTGATTTTGCTTGTATCAAGTACATTTGTCACTTAAATTCACTGCTTCTGCTTCTCCTGACTCTGGTTCAAGCGGAAAATTTCCACTCGGATCATTATCCAGCCACGCTGTGAGGGCGCAAATACTGCTAACCTCTGTCCTCTGAAAAATTCAAGACATTCAGGATTATTACTATTATTACAGTACAGGTCATTATTAACTATCAACAAAATAAAAATGAGCACTGAAAACTTTGCCTGAGGAAAAATGAAAAGATCATTTACAGATTTACAGAGTGACATTATTTCACCTTCAAACTTGCAGACAAATAATTAATAATTTAGATAGGTGACAGCTTTGAACAGACATCAGATGTGACACTAGCTGAAGATTGGCAGGTTATCAGTACGGCATTTATTCTGAATCATTAATAGACTTTCTTTTTTGTGATTATGCAAATTTCAAAGGTAGTGATTTTGCTTGTATCAAGTACATTTGTCACTTAAATTCACTGCTTCTGCTTCTCCTGACTCTGGTTCAAGCGGAAAATTTCCACTCGGATCATTATCCAGCCACGCTGTGAGGGCGCAAATACTGCTAACCTCTGTCCTCTGAGCAAAGCATCGGCTTCGTGCACCATTCTACGCTCCCCAAAAATTGCGCTGATAAACGCTCACTCTCTGGTAAACAAGACGTACATGTACATCCTCAACGATTTTATTACAGCTCACGACCTGGATTTTCTGTTTATCACCGAGACCTGGGTGAAGGTAGGGGACTTCAGTCCATATTCTGAACTTGTTCCAGCCAACTATCACTTTTACAATGCTCCGCGATCATCAGGCAGAGGCGTCATCATTGCTAAAGATTCTTTCAGACCTCGATGCCGACTGTTATCTTCCACCCTTTACGAGTTTTGAATGTCAGGTTTTACTTCTGAACTGGTATGAACTTGTGGTCTTAGCTCTGATCTATCGGCCACCACATCTAATCAAAGACTTCATAGTAGAGCTTTCAGAGTTTGTAGGGGATTTGATCACTAAACATCCTTATTTTAGGTGTCCATTTAAATGTCCATGTATGTTGCCCCTCTAAGCAGCTAACTTCTGAGTTTTTAAACATCATTGACTCTTTTTAACCTGCTGCAGTGGGTTAATCATCCCACACATACTCATGGACACATTTTGGACCCAATTTTTTCATATGGTCTATCTGTAACTGACGTTGAAGTCGTTGATTCTGTTATTTCTGATCATTTTCCTATTTTATTTCAAATGTCTCTTCCATTACTTTCTCTTACACCTGCTTCTGATACTACACAAGCCCATGCATATTTGCCTCATTTTTGTGAGGATTTTGTCAAGCTCTATAATGAGGTCAACCCTCTTTTATCATTAGTCTCTATTATTTGATCTTGATGCTGAACATCACTTTATCATTTTAAATACTGCCTGGACAGATACTTTAAACCTTACAGCTCCTTTTAAGCTCTTTAAGTCAAAATCTATATCTAAAAGGAGCTATACCTTCAAGTTTGAAAATTGCCACGGTTACACCTGTACTAAAGAAACCCTCACTTGATGCCTCTATTTCATCAAATTTTCGTCCGATCTCCATTTTGCCATTTATTTCCAAGATATTGGAAAAAATTGTGTTCTTACAGCTCCAGACCTTCCTGACTGACAATCATATTCTTGAGTCAAGTTTCAGTCTGGGTTTAAATCACTGCACAGCACAGAATCCGCTCTTGTAAGAGTTCTTAATGATATTTTTATGGCAACAGATTCGGGAGATTCTGTCATTTTAGTAATGTTAGACCTGCCCTCTGCTTTCGATACTGTCGATCATAAGATCCTTATCTCTCGGCTGGAGTTCTGCGTTGGGCTAGTGGGGGCTGTTTTAAGTTGGTTTAAACCTTTTTTTAACCAATAGACGTTTCTCTGTAAAAATAGGACGTTTTTCTTCTTCCCTTCACAATTTATCCTGTGGTGTGTCTCAAGGCTCTGTCTTAGCTCCTGTCCCTTTTTTCTCTCTATCTTCTCCCTCTGGGTTCCATCTTCAGGAAACATAATGTCTCATTTCACTGTTATGCTGATGATATGCAAATCTATATGCCTGTGGCTAGGAAAAATAAGAGTGCTCTTGGCAATCTAACAGCATGTCTTGAGGATGTGAACGCTTGGCTTGCCAAGAACTTTCTTTTTTGAACTCAGACAAAACAGAAGTCATTGTTTTTGACCCCTCAGAATCCAGGCCAAGAAATCACCTTGACCTTGAATCTTTAAATCAATTCATTTCTCCCCAGGTACGGAATCTAGGTGTGATGGTAGATAGTTGCCTCAAATTCGACAAGCAGATTAGCACGGTCATTGGGTCCAGCTTTTTCTATCTTCGTTCTCTATCGAAAATCAAATCCTTTCTTCCTAAGTGTTCCTTGGAGATTGCGATCCATGCTTTCATTACCTCTCGCCTGGATTATTGCAATTCCCTCTATTTTGGTATATTTAAGTCCCAAAAGGCACGTTTACAGGTCGTTCAAAATGCTGCGGTGAGATTCCTGAAGGGAAGGAGGAAATTTGATCACACTACCCCCCTTCTGAGATCTCTTCACTGGCTTCTGATTCATTTTAGAATTGAGTTTAAAATTTTATTACTGGTGTATAAATCATTAAACGACTTAGCACCTTCTTACTTGTCTGATCTACTTCACCTGTACTCTCCCACCAGAGGCCTTAGATCCGAAGGTAAACTCCTCCTTCAGATACCCAGAACCCGGCTAAAATCGAGGGGAAACCAAGCCTTTGAAGTGGCCGGCCCCACATTGTGGAACAAGCTCCCACTCTATATTAGATCGGCTTCCACTTTGTCTGAGTTCAAGTCATGTCTCAAAACTTATTTATTCTCTGTTGCTTTTAGTTTATAAGATTGTTCGGTTTTAACTGTTTTGCTGCTATTTGTGTACTCAACTTTTTAAATTTTATCTTTTCTTGTACAGCGTTTTGGTTGGCCTGCGGCCATTTTTAAATGTGCTCTATAAATAAACTGAACTTAAAGGGGTCATATGATGCTGCTAAAAAGAACCAAACCAAAACAGTCCACAATTATATAATCACTTACTGCAGCATCTTTGCAGTTGAGTTTGCTTTGATTAAAGGAGTCATATGATGTTGCTAAAAAGAACTTTATTTTGTGTATTTGGTGTAATGAAATGTGTTTATGCGGTTTAAGGTTAAAAAAAAACATTATTCACATACTGTACATTATTGTTTCTCCTCTATGCCCGTCTTTGCAACTTTACAGATCTTCTTTATGCACCAAGAGCTTGTAACACTCCAAAGAGAAAGGAAAAATTGAAATCGCATCATATGACACCTTTAAATTCTTTATACTCAATGACTTCTCCTCAAATGTATCCTGTGTGCCCAATTAAATTGTATTTTATCAGGACCCTTGGTGTTTATAAACAGTGCTGCATGCTGATCAGCTCTTATCAATCATCACACAACACTGCAGCTCCATCTCCAGCCACTCACGCAATTTATGTTCTTTAGTAGTTTATTAGCATTCAGACCATGTCCTCTGAGCTCAGCATTAAGGCGAGTAATAAATCATGATGTCTGCAGTATTTGTTGTTCAAACATACTTTTAGGTTGAGCTTTTGAGTTCAGCAATTTTTTTTATAACTCTTATGTGGGTGGTGTATCAACAGCAATTTTACTGCTGTTTGTTCAGGTTTTCTGGATTCTGCTCAAGCGGATGTTATAAAACCAACGGAGCAGCAAAACAGGACAAAATGTGCAAATAATAATTAACTTTAATACAAAATAACATTTGGATTTATGCTACAAATTACTAACACCAAAATTGTTTGTATTTGATGTTACACACCCTGCATGTTCCTTGACA